CGCTACTAGGGGCTCCTGGCCTTACTACTAGGAGCAAGGACGCTACTCAGGGCTCCTGGCCTTACTACTAGTAACAAGGACGCTACTAGGGGGCTCCTGGCCTTACTACTAGGAACAAGGACGCTACTAGGGGCTCCTGACCTTACTATTTGGAGCAAGGACGCTACTAGGGGCTCCTGGCCTTACTACTAGTAACAAGAAGCTATTAGAAACAAGGTGCGTCAGGATCGTCCAAGATACGCAGAGCCGGTGCGTTCCTGTCATGCCCGAGGCAATTGAATCGATCACAGTCACTCCAAGGCGGGGAGCAACGATGGCCTCCACCTAATAGCGATGGCCTCCAACCAAAAACGCGTTGTTTTTACTAAACCATGTTACATCATACAGTTTCTCCCCTACTTGCTGCTCATCCCACAGTCAATTTGTTGAGATGACCCCATCTAAGTTGTTCCGGTGCCTCCATCCCAGGATCCACGGCTAAGTTTTGGCACTCAGCACAAGTTGAGTTAAAGCACTTGAATGAGCCGATTTTGAGCATTGATTTGCTGCGCAGCTTCTATTGTTGATTCACATGATGGGCTTTTGAGTATCACTACTTCATGACGAATGCCTGTAAGAAGCAACTATGTAGGTCAGCCACGGGTCAAATTAACAGATCCATTGTATTGGGCAGGTGTTTGCCGACCCGGTTGGCAGGTGTTTGACGGTCAGTCGTCACATGCTTTTGGATCTACAATACCTACAGTACTATAGCCTATTTAAACAGCTGTTAACGGCGCAGACTCAGAATCTATAGGTCTTTTGGAGGATTTGACAGGGATGTGGGAAATGTTTCCTTTTTTTGGGGTGAATCCTTGAAGAATGACTTTTGTCCTGGCGGTGTAGTATAGTATAGGGTGCCGCGACTGATTGCCCTAGTTAGTGAAATATACACTTACGAAACTGTAAATGCTTGGACTGAGGGTGCAAAGCCTTCCCGTGCAGGAGCTTGTGATTCGATCATGAAGCAACCAACAAAAACTAGAGGATGACAGTCGTGAAAAAGACCTGCTGCGGCACGCCAAAAAGCACTAAGCTGCGTTTCTCGACATGGTTCGAGTTAGCAAAGACTGCATGCAAGCTCCACTACTTAAACTTAGAGCCTTGGCTTGGTAGTGTTCACACTTGTTTGTCAGATGTGTAGGGCTAGCTACTGTAACTGTTTGTCTAGCAACATGACCGCTACACGTGCTTTTGCTGGGGTTCATTGCAGGAGAAGCATTTGCCTAACTTGTTGGAGCCAGATGCCCAGATGTTCAATTGAATGACGATTAGCTGGAACGCCTCAGCCCAGAGAGAGAGGGGGAGAGAGAGAGAGAGAGAAGATGAAGATGATGATGAGGATGGAGTGAAGTGAAGTCCCCTTCCCATCTTGTCCGTGAAGTCCCCTTCAAGTGAACATCAATATGTATGCATAAATATGTATATATATATATATTGTTTTATTTATTTATACCTAACTATACATGTACATATATATATTTATATATATACATATGTGTGTGTGCCTGTGTTTTAACATGATTTGGGGCTACAACACTCGCACATATGGTTGTTTGGGCTTCGTAGGCACCAGGTTGCTGGCAACAAGTTGGAGCCGAATCAGACGGCATCTTTGCTGCATAAGTGTGCTTCAGAATGCACATGGGTGTGTTGTTTGCTTCAGGAAATGGACTCAATCTACAACTAGCGTTGGAATAAACACGCAGAAGCAAAATGCAAAACAAACGCTTGTGATCATCAGTGGGGAAGGGAACAATATGTCATGAGTAACAGCATCTGTTGAGGTGTCACCAGGACTTCCTTCACAAGGCGGCTTGGGCCTTGGTTGTGTCAGAAGCGGTCCACCAAGCGTGTACTGGAATGCTTCTTGAATTTCCATTCCTCTTTGGACTGTACAAACTGGTGGTGTTGCTCCATCGGTTAGAAATTAGCTGGCAGGCTAACGGCTAACCAGATGGATTCCCTTCTATATAAGCAGGCAGCAGTACCACCATCCTCCCCACACTTGGTGTCGCGTTGGAGATTACTATGTGACTATATATGTGGTTTCCTAGCATGAAGTTGCATGAAGTATGAAGCTCGTCAAGGACAAATCCTTACCACGACACCAGAGGGTCAAAGGAAAAGGACACACCAACCAACAACTGTATCAAAGATGGCCATGTACCACTGGGCTGTAGCTGAGAGGATTTGACCACAAGACATGATAGGGAGTTGTCCAGACCCCGTTTCGTTGATCCGGGACCTGCCAGCACGGGATCGCTTGATACAGAAAAGGGCTTAAGTCATTTGTAGCTTCTTGTTTTCTACTAGCTTCTTGTTACTACTAGTAAGGCACTTGTTACTAGAAGCGATGCACTTGTTCCTAGTAGCTTCTTGTTTTCTAATAGCAACAGCTTTAGCATGCTTCACCCCTCCTTGTACAGAATACTGAGGGTATAGGGCTAGGGTGTTTGTGGGAAACGTGTTTGTTTTGGTTTGGCACAGAATGTGTCGAGCTCCCAGAGATGCACCACCCATTCAATGGACATTGTGATTTCCCAAGGCGTTGCAGCCTCTTCATCGCGTGGCGTCCCAGCATTGAAACTTCCCATGGGCCATTGCTTTGAGCATGTTGCCGTTCCTACTGTAGAATCGCACATCAAAAAGAACAGAGGCTCCAGGACAGGAGTTGAATCTATAGAAGAAAACACATGCCCAAGTCAAGCTTTGTGATTTGATGCCCCGACATTTGCCATCATTTGCCCACTTCTGGATCAAGCAGGCAGACATCGCATTGCATGTCAAACTGCGTCTAAGTGTCATGGCTTCACAAATGCAAAACTAGACCAGCGTCACCAAACTACAAAGGTTCGAAAGAAGTAGTACCATTAGTATGCCTGTTTGATCCTGTTTGCCTTCAGCTTAGCTGAACTTGACAGATGGCAATGGAGAGAGAGAGAGAGAGGCAGTATGACTATGAAATCTTAGTGGGCCTGCAACAGCTTGCACAGAGGGAGATGTGCAACTCAGGTTTTGTCGGACCAAAAGATTGCAATAGTGTCGGGCCTTACTACTAGGAGCAAGGACGCTACTAGGAGCAAAGGGCATCGCTACTAGGAACAAGCACGCTACTAGGGGCTCCTGGTCCATGTCGGAGCCACACCAATTGTGTCACGGCATTCTTCCGCTCATCAAGGACTTGCCTTAGTCGACAGTTGCCGTTAGAGGTGTTGGTGGATTTGCGTTTGGGGTGTGCCACCATTGTTTCTCCAAAGCTTGCTGGCTGCCAAGAATGCTTGGGCCGGCCCTTGCAACCGCTTGCATTCCTTGTAGGCATTAGCTACAGTCACAGTTGTTCCGTGTGACGACCGGCTGTCATGATGAGAGTTGCGCTGGTCCACGAAGGTCCACGACGTTTGCGCACGGCGCACAGCTGTCGGCCCAAGCAATCCGCCACCAGAGCGAAGTAGCCAGAGAAGCAAAAGAGCTTTCAAGTATCGCTGGCTGCCCAGAAACGGAGGGAGTCTATTTCGGCAGCCCTGCGACAAGTTGCTCAGATCGAAACATTTTCTCATATTGCCCCAGATCTCCAATGGCCCAATGGATTGTAAGCTGCCTTTCCGTCAAGTTGTGACAGTGGCAGCAGCAATCCTCCAGCTTGTTTCGCATGAAACTTCCAGAATCGTTTTGTGGCCAATCCTCCAGAATCCTCCCAGGAGAACCCACAGCTGAACAATGCAAAAACAATCCAGGTCCCACTCAGGTCCCCACCGTGACCTCCTTAGGTCCCCTCATGAACCGTGATCCCTTGACGACCAAACCTCGTTCAAGGTCAGATGCCAGAGATGAAGCCAATGACCCCGGGGCTCGTTTCTCCCCAGCGTATGCCTCTTGGAGAAGCTCAAGCTAGCTCATGCTGGAGGGTGGTGGTCGTGCCATAGGACTGAATGGGCAGGTTCCTCATCTTGGTCCCATCTTAACTTGTTGCTTAATAGTGATTTGAGCCATCCCAATTCAATTCCCCAGATCGGTTCAAATTCTATGAGGTTTGGCACTGTTTGGGCTTGGGGTTCCTAGTGCAGGTCACTACAGCTATGAAAACCTACATGCATAGCACCATAAGGTTTTCTTCGATCACATGTTTTCAGTTTTCACTTGTTTGACTGACTCGAATTGATACATGGATTCGTTCTAGTAATTACTCAAATTATGTTGTTGGAGGTGTGTGTGTGTGTGTGTGTTTCTTGTAATTAGTTGTTTCATCTTGTTTCTTCCTCAGACGGGAGGTGTGGGTGGCCTTAGAAGGGATGGGTGCCGGGATTTGGTGGTAGGGATAGACCCAAAGGGAGAGACCTTCAGACAGTCTCGGCAAGTTTAGCTTACACAGAAAACATTAAAGAACAACGATGGATGCATCTCGAAACTTCTTTGTCTTTGCCCTGCGGAGCTCTTGAATAGGTATTTGAACAGGTTGTTCAGCACAAATCACTTGCACCAGTCGCCATGGCCATACCTTTGCATTTGGACAATGCTTCTTTGACATGGAAATGTCACTGCTCCTCAACTTAGCTGCTTTTTCCAAGGTCTTCCAAGGAATCCAAGAGAAGCGACTGCACTGCTCAAGTGGCTGTTCTGCAAACTGGTGAACGGCTTCAATCCTTCGTCAGAAGACGGAAAGCTGTGGGAAAAGGTGTAAAGTGTAAACTCAGTAGGAAAGATGAAAGAATGAAACAACTAGTAGCTCCTGGCATCGCTACTAGGAACCCAGGCATCGCTACTAGTAACAAAGGGCAAGCGGCGCAGAAGCGGATTGCAGTCATGGTGGACATTAGAGCTTGTCATGGTGACTAAAAAGGGGATCCTCGAAGCGCACCTGGAGGCCATGCTCAGTGTTGAGCCTAAAGTGAACTGCAAGATCTCAGCTAGGTGTTCCGGAAGACAATGACCCAGTTTTCTTATGTTTTCTTAGTTTCAGAATGTGTCAGATGTGACTTTGACCACAAGGCTGATAGCCATAACATGACCAATGCCCTTGATGTCATTCAATATGTCTCATCTGAGGAGTCCACGACCATCGGGAACAATACCCCGCGCTCTGAGGTCGCACGTGCTGACTGAGTTGATCGAAAATGATATAGGTAAAGTTTGATAGACCCCTTTGGCAAACTATGGAAATCCAACTTTGCTTGCAGGGTTTTGCATCTCAGTTTGCTTAGACACCAAACACCCCTTTTTCTCCCAGCTACGCATCAAGCTGACATGTTGTTGCTTTGTACATGGTTTTTGTCTTCTGGCTTCTGACAGCGGACACTGTTCAAGGGCACTTTGCTCACCTCCTTTCTTGTGACGCACACCGGATCAGGCAAGCCAGCCAGTGGAGAAGACAGGGCCAACTTTGCCCTTGCAGAAGCGCGAGAACATTGCTTGGTGCGCTGCTTTCCTGCATTGATAGCATTCACCACTGGGCTAATTTGGGGGCTCCTTTTCTTCGTGCCACACCTATGTTCTCATGTGTGTGAGGATATAAGTTATATGCATACAATATACATACATGCCACATTGTGCACATACAGCTGACACATGAAGAATCCTCCAAGCTTTGGAGAGAGTGCATTTTCCAAGTTGTGTCACAGCTGGCTAAGGACATCAAAGACGAGGCAGTGCGGCAAGATTTTCTGGCGACTCCTATTGGGAAATCATAGAAAGATGCATCAGCTCTCCCACAGTCGTGCAAAGTGCAAGATGGCCCTCGCTTGTGCTTTCGCAGCCCCTATCACTTTGCCAGGAGGAGTTTGAAGACTATGGAGACTCCTTGCCAATCTCCCCGTGCCTTTGGAATGAACATCCTGACACATGCAGGGTGCATTGTTGGGTCTTGGGCTTTGCGCTGCAGCGCTTGCCTTGTGAGGATGCGTCTTTGTTCAGTTCCTCCTGCGTGTCTAATATGTCCCTGCATGTCAAGACATGGCAGTGATGCCTCTTGAGACCTTACACCTGAGATGCTATACGCACCAAACATGCCAATCAAATACTGTATATATATATATATGTGTGTGTGTATATTCATGCAGTGATATATATAACATATAGCCCTCCTCCACTAGGTCGTACAAAACCAGTCGAACACCGTCCGTCGACATTCCTCCCGAGGTCCGTGAAGAGCACGGCGACTACGCCCTCGCGCAGTGGCCGCCGCGCGGAGCGCCGGGCAAGGCGCCGTAGGGAGGCGCAGAAGGCGAGGGGACAGTGGTGTTGTTCTGATTGGAATGGACAAACTGTTTGGCAAACTGTTCGATCTATATTCTATATGATATTGTAGAACAAGACCGGACCTACATAACACATGTAAATCAGAACCTTCAGACACCAGTACATATTGATGTTTTGGATGACAGTGTTGGTGTGTTTGACCAAGGATCACAGGAATTACAAAAATATTGCTTTGGCATAGGGGCATCCCAACCAGCGCTCGAAGCCTGTGCTTCCTTCAGGCCGCGCAGCAAGTCAATTCACGTGGCTCCACCGTTACCTTTGCGGACTGGCATCATGTCATGCGTGTCCAAGATTTGTACTCAAGAACCCAGTACTCCACAACCGTGCACAATCAAGGTTCACATGAGCGTGTTTGCACCTAATTACTGACCTGACTTGCTTGTGTGTGATTTTGCAGCCGATGCAAGTGGTTGTTTGCTTGCATGTGCCTTCAACATGTGCAAACAGTGCACCAAAAAAGACACTGAGCCTGAGCCTCCCAGTATTCAACCAAGCAATTCCCCATCCATTCATGGCGGCAGGAACTGGGCGTGGAGTGCAACCAGACAATGCCAGGCGGCATCATGATCCCGTCGCACATATATCACATATTGGACAGTGAACAACCATCACTGGCACAGATTCAAACTAGGTATTCAATCTTTGCATCGTCCCCCAAGAAGTCCCCTCGCATGACAGCTTTGCAGGGATGACGCCGCTGGAAGGAAACTGGCCAGGCCTGGTAGTGAGTCAAGCCAGGGGTATTGTTGGCACCATGTGGGATGCTGCTTGGACTCCAATGGGCTTCGTGGATTCAGCTTGCGAAGGCTGTGCGCCTCAACTCAGATTTGTGCAGGTATCATGAGCACCGCCCCTGCGGAGCAATCCAAGGCTGCTTTGTTCCTTCCACCAGGTGGGTACTTAGCCAGCCTGGTGTGTATCAGACCCCTTGTGTAGTGTTGCAATTGGGCCTTTGCAGCCCCAATATGTTGAAAAAAACACTCAGATCTCCTCAGATTGCGGCCGTGCAGTTCGGCAAAGTTGCTGAAGTGGCTATGCTATGTTGAGAGTTTTGTCATTTGCAAGGCGCTTTGAGCTACACTGGCTGCTCGCCTACAGCCAAACCCTGTGATGCTTCGGCCAGGTTGGGATGCGCAAACACTTCCAGCTGTCAATAAGGGGGACACCTTGGGGCGGCCATTTCATTTGGCAAAATGCACCTGGTTACCTGGTTGTGCTTGGGGCGTTGATAATTAGAGTTACTGTAGTCGTGAGGGGGAACCAATCAAAGCCACTTGAATGGCTTTTGGAGGGTGCTTTTCGTTGGATG